ATCATGCCAAGAACTGCATGGAGGTTTTGTCTAAGTGCCTATAAGGGAGAAAGCAATTCTGGAACAGAGCACATGAGGTCTGTTTCCCAAAACGCCCCAATTTCAGTTTGTTGATATTATTTATTTCTTAAATAAGTTGCTCTGTGGATGGTGCAAATAAAAACCACCTGGCACCAGCTGGTTTTGTGTCACAGGGCTGGATATGCTGGGGTGTTGGAAGACCTGTTCCCACATGCATTTCTGGTGTCTGATACAGAGTGAGTCTACAGTGAGCACTGGTGTTACTGCACTTTCCTTCCTTGACCCATTTTTTTTGCAATCCCCGCACCTACTCTATGCAACTAAGATGGCAAGTGTTTCAAAAGGCATTGAGAGAAATTATTGACAGCACTCACCCTCATTTGATAACTTTCAGAAAATCTGGCTAAAAATTTGATGTTGCTAAACTCCCAGCCTCTCCCAGACAAATTGGACCTATCAATCAACCTTGAAGTTATAATTGCCCTGCAATATACTGAAGGACAAAAGTGTTAGATGTGTTACTGAGATTTGCTTGAGCTTTAAGTGTATTGTGTGCAATAAAAATAAAGAAATTACACCTTACCTGAATATTAATGCTCCTTCTTGAAGGCCTAGAGAAATGAAATCACTATTAGGTCTCATGGGACTGTCTCCCCTCCACATCAAAAGACCTTCCTTCATTGTGGTTTTAAACCTCATAAACACATTTGTTCTTGATCCTGATACCCTGTTTAATGTAAAGAAGGCAAAACATAATAAAACATTGAACTAGGATAGTCCTTTTTAAAGCAAAACTAGAAGGTGATGGAAATATTTCTTCTTCGTGATTTTGCAAGTTGTGGTCCAATAAGTTGCCTATTCGTTGCTTATGAGCAACTCTGGTTTACATCCCTATTTCCAGCATTTCAGAGTGAGGAAATTGCACTTGGACCTCAGAATACCAGATGTAATTGTTGCTAAGTTGCTCAATACAAGTATGAGAATTTTTTTTTTCTGTCTAAGCCTAGCATGAAATCCACTCACTAATAAGCGAATTTTGAGAAGGCCTAGTAGGCTTGGTCCCAAAAAGGCTAACCAGAGTCCTGGTGTGGGTGAGAAGTGCTGAGCAGCAGGTCAGCTTGGCAAGGACATTTGGGAAGCTCTTACAGCCAGAGACTCTAATATAGGCAGATAGGGATTTTTTGGAACAACCTTGAATTTAATGGAGTTTGGATAACTGTTAGAGTAGAGAGCAGCCATCAGAAGTTTGAAGACTTGTATTTTAGGCTCAGGAGGCTAAAGCAGGAGTTAAAATCCTTAGCGCCTCTATGGATATAGACTCTATATATCTTCTGTTCTTTGCTCTCAGGAACAGAATAGAGTCCATCTCTGTGCTGGAACTAAGCGGTGAACACCATTTCTTCAGAGGTTGCAAGATGCTCAGATATTACCATAAATTAAGCCATCAGGATATGCCTAGAAAATGTGCTTTCACCTGAAATTTAGAAACATGGAAAACACAGCTTAATTTTACTATGTCTTAAATACATCCTGCCACTTCGAAGGACATAATGGTAAACAAACAGGACAACCTGTTAATTACCTTTTCAAGATATCTGGATTATCATATGTGAGGTAACTGCGACCAATAAACTGTGGGATTTCAATTGCTTCTGTAATGCCTAAAAAGTAATAAATAAATAAATAAAAATAAAAAGGCATGTCAGTTGGCTGACGGGCAAACACAAGAAAAAAAAATACTTACACTGATTTATTCCTCCACATTTATTTATACCCACAGATACCTGCCAGTGGCACAAAATAAAGCTAAATTTACTCATACTGGTTTGTAAAATGGCAATCAGTTCATACCTAAATGTAGAAATAGCAGATGAGAGAGTTTAAACCATACCTTCTCCCAACAGGCTCCCTGCTTATAGCCAACATATCATGGGCCTAATATGAATGTTAAAGCAGAAAAGTACAAAATATGGGCTACATATTGCAAATTCTATTTGTACCCTGCATCTCCATGTGGTTCCCAGTGATCTCACAGAGTCCAGTCGTACTTCTGCCTAAGTCTGTGCCTTAACCACCCACTGTTCTTTTAGTCTACAAGATGCCTCTCATGCCCCTCGTGCAGCGCCCTGCATAGGTCACATCCTGGGATTTTACATGCTGGGATCTCTCATACTCCAAAAAACGATGTGTTGAGAGGCAGCATGGGCAAATTTTGAGCTCCCCATCTTCTCCTTCCAGTTGCTTCCTGCAAGGCCTGACCTTCTCCCCCTGTCCATCTAGAACTTTGCACAGGAGGCCACCAGGAAAGGTGCTGGTGGCACCTACAGGCAACAGAGCATCAGCAGGCAGACAGCTCCAGGAGGCACATCCCCCACCACCCTTAATCAGTTTAGGACTACTGAGAGCAACTGAGGATACATCCCACACTGACATTAAGGGCTTAGACCATAAAGGCTATATTAGAGGAGCTGCGGGCACAAAGCTCTCGGAGCACATGCCCGAAACTTAGGGCAGTGCTGGCCAGGAGGACGAGCACAGTTGGTTCCAACCACACTGGTGTTCCAGGCTCATCCTCACCCACTTTTTCAGGGGAGAGCCCCCTCGCAGAACTGCAGTGTGTGGTCCCACCATGAGGACAGCACACTGGCACCTGGCCAGTCAGACCTGGAGCCAGAGCACTGCTTCACCCAGGGCAAACATTAGCAAAATAACTCAGATCTGCATATAAATCACTGAACATCCCTGATGTAGTTCCTTGGTAAGGCAGGATTGCTGACCTGAGCAGATTTGCTTCCAAGTGAATCCTCTATAGTTTGCTGATGATCTCTCATAGCTGACTACTACAATAATATAAAGCAGTTTTATAAGTTCCCCAAAATAGTTCACTTCATCCTATTTTCTTCCTGAGAAGTAATCCCTTCAACCCACTGCTAATCTCATCTAGATAAACTTTAAGCTTTTCAGGGCATGGATGCTTGCTTTCTTTGTGTGTTACAAAAGCTGGCTGGTTGTTAAGGGCTCCCTGCAATAGTGACATGCAGCAACTTGTGTAGTCTGGGAGCCAAGAGCAGAACTATGAAATAAAGGTGTAAGTGCCAAGACAGAGAATTTCAGATGGTGACAAATGGCTGTTTTCATCCATAATGAAATCAGGAAAACTGCCTAATGTGTCTAAGGAAAACACCATACGCTGTCCACAGCCTGCAGTCTGTCAGCATTATTAGAAGATTTCAAAAGATGCCTTTCTCAGTCAGTGGGGCTGACACTTTGTGGATCTGTCTGTCTCTGACTGTGGTGGATGGAGGCAGAGAGAGAAAGGACCCGTTCTGCACTGACACCAGCATCCTGCTGTTCTTTCCTTAAGGTGGGTAACCCCCTAAAATGTTCATCCACAGGAACCTGCCAGGTTTCATGCAAATGCAACGTGCAGCTTGACAGAGTAGACACAAACGCACAATGACAGAGCAGTTTTCACATCATTTACAGTACTTACTGTTTAGGCAGTAATTTCCACACTCTGCAGGGAGTCAGCAGAAGACAAAACAAGAACATTCCGTTTTTATTCTTCTATGCTATGAAAGTATCCTCTCCAAGAACTGTCTAGTCTTCTCCCCACCCTTTGTAAATGAGTGATCCCCACTTCTCTTTTGCACCTCAGCAGACAACTGTAAGCAGCTACAAAGGCATTCTTTTAGCACTATCTTATACAGCTGTTTATTTTGTCCACTCAAAATGCACCAAGCCTTCAGACAGGTAGTACCAGCTCCTCTGTTAGCCCAGGCTCTCACGATAGTTCCTATGGAGATGGATGCTAAGCAGAGGAGAAGAAATGTTAGCTGTTCTGTGCTGTCTACAGTTAAATACAAATGCTTCTAACACTCACTACATATTGAATAAAAGACACAAAACACAGCAATGCCAGCAGAAATTCCTCTGCATCTTCAGCCAAGGATCCATTATGGTATCAATGAATATTTCATATGTCTTATTTTAGTATCATTTGGGTTTTCATAAGTGGTAATTTAGGAGAATGAGGCCCAGGCCCTCATAAGTACTTTGGTTTTACAGTGTCTTGGGTTAGAGCAGCCCAACAGCAAGCTGGACAGATATCATTTCCAGCCTGACTCTGGCCAAAACACTGCTCTGAAGTTGGAGATTACATACAGACAGATTCTCCTTCATCCATGTGTCCACTGTACCAAAGAAGTGTGTATATATTAAATTAGAATCTTGGTCTGTGGTAGAAATCAAAGCTTGGTGGATGCAGAGGGTGACGAAGGCACCTGAAGAGCACCAGCAGCCATCAGGAACTGAAAGGATTGCTCACACCTTCTGATGTCCTTAAAAATGAACTAAGGCTGGACCCACGAAAAACGTTAAAAGAAAAAACGCTTTGTATGGAGGTGTGCAGGGGTGGCCCAGGGCACAACTCAGCACTTAGCTCAGGTTAGAAGGAGAGGAGCAGTGGGGAACTGCGGCTTCTGTAATGCACCATCACTCACTAAACTGACATCTGGTCACATGTTGAAACTTCAGAGCGTTCGCTTGCCTTGTCTGGTACCAGACCCTGGTGCTGCTGCAGGGACTATCCCCAGGTTAAGAGTTTGGCAGCCAAAATCACAAGTTTCCTGCTTCCTTGCAAGGAAGACAAGATAAATAACATAGTTCCAGCTTTTAGTTAGGCCAAATAACATAAGCAAAAGGGCTTCCTGCATTTTCTGTTTTTAATAAAAAGTTTTTGTTCAGAGACATTTTGTCTTTTTTGGAAGAAAAGGCCAATCCATTCATCATGATTTTAAAAAAACACTGTTTTTTTGCTTTGGAGTTTGTGCTTGTGAGAACTGAAAGAGTGGGTGAAGAGTATAATGTCAATCAACTCTTTTAATTTAGTTCGCTATCACGGTACCAATTTTTTCTTTAGAAATGTTTCAAATTCAGTCTTGACAGAAGAGAAACAGCTCCATCTAGTGAAATCCTCTAAAACACACTGCCTTTTAACACATGCAATCTGAGCCACTTCTTGAAGCTAAGGCTGGAAATATTGTTAAGTGTCTCTAAGAACAGTAACGTGTATCTGGGCAGCTTTACTTCCTTGGTGGTCCGCACTATTGTGCTGAGATATGATTTGTACATATGGTGAAATTACAGAGTAGTCAGAACCTAAAAAAAGGATTGGACCTTTCTATGCACAAGAACAGAGTCTGTTGTTAACACTAGGTAGGATAAAATGACAAGGGTTATCAGTCTTCATGCTTCAGGATGTAAAATAATCACTGGCTGCAGGAGGCTGTCAGGAATTCGCCCTTCATCCAGTGCTGTGTGATTAGGGAGCTGCATGCAGCCTGCTGTGTTGGCTACCGTTAGCAACCAGATACCTGGCTACTATCTATTGCTGAGTGCTCTGTGCTGGGATAACAATTACCATGTTCCTAAAAAACAAAACGAATGATCCCTGGATATGTAGCATGCACACGAATGCAAAGAGCTCTGGTATCCAGGATTTCTATTTCAAGGGATGGGCACAAGAGCAGTTGTAGGTGCTAAACCTCTCTTATTTTTGTGGACAGCTCTGGATCTGTGGGACACACAGCCCGCATTACCTTTTTGGCAGTGCTGCCCATCAAAGCCTAGAGGGCAATCACATTTGTAGGTGTCCTTTTTGGGAACACAGCTGCCTCCATTTGCACACAGGGAGCTCAGGCAGGGATGGGCAGCATTTTCTAAGTTGATTCCAAAAGTGAAATCCTGTTTCATGTCTATTGCCCGGTCATTCAAGATAATCTATGTATGTAAAACAAACAACAACAACATAAAGGAAAAAAAAGAAGGGGGATAAAAATAGGTTAAAAACTTCCAAGATTGTAAGAACGCCATTTGGTGTTTTAGTCCTACTCAGAAGACTTCTCTAAATGACTTTCAAGAAAGGTATCCTGGAAACTTAGCCTACAGTCTGTTTCTTATCAGGGTGTTTTCTAGGCACTGAGCTCCAGCATGTTCTGTTGCTCACTCTGATGAGGTGGTGATTAATTTCTTTTGTCTTTTGAGACAGAGATCTAGGCAACCCACATATGGACAGAAGCTGTGTGGAATTTACCGGTCTTGTGTTTGAACACTAGTGCACTGCTTTGTAGTTGAGCTGTGAGCTCGTACTGTAAAAATTAGATGAGCTCTGCTGAGGAAAGTGTTTCTGATATCAGGAAACCCCAAGGATGTTAGTGTTGACAACAGAAATATTAGAATTTTCACATTTCTACTGCCTTCACGTATCTCCTCTTGCCTGAAACAAGATAGTGTTATGAATTAGAGAAAAACGTAATTAGCTACGTTTCACACAACTATTTGTACATAAACAGAAGAGAATTGTTAAATGCAGGGCTTGTTCCAATGTTTCAGCAGCACATGTTCTCCAAGAAAAACAACGCTTGTAGAATCTCAGCTGATAACTCAGCAGTGAGATTATGTCGACAGGCATAGCTTCTTAGCTACATCGAAATAACAAGTACATTTTCACAAACAAATACATCTTAAGGCTACAGAAATGTGTTATTATAAACCAGATAATGAAATTGTGGATTCTGAGGGGAAATGGTTGTATAAAGCCGAGGAATGATTCTTGAAATCACATTAAACAGCATCAAACACACACTTTTGTCTTAAAGCTGAACCAACAAAGAATCCTTTTAGCTTGTAGCTTCTTCCCAACTTCCAGGGAAGTTGTTCCAGTGGCTAACTATGTCCACTGTGTCTCTTATTTCTGGACTGAATTTATCTTCAGCTTCCAGCCATTGCTTCTCATCATTACTTTTTCTGCTTCATTGAAGAATATCTGTTCTAGGAAATGTCATTCTCATGGACAAATTAGCAGACCAACATCAGGGCACTTCTTAACCTCATCTGAATAAACTAAATAGATTAAGATCTTAGGTCTTTCTGTAAAACGCATGCTCTTCAATACTTAGTGACTTTGGTGGCTTTATTTCTATACAGTCTTCCAAAATTCTGCTCCTCCTTGATAGCCCACTCAGGCCTCTAGGGTAGCAAGCCCACCTTAACTATGTCAAAGAAGTAAGAAAGAGCTCACTGTCAGCATTTTGAAATCCTTCCAAGTGCCACTGTATTTTAGGGGACAGCCCCTAACCTTGTAAGCATGACCTACAATCTTTGCTCCTGTCTAAAGATTGCTTTCTATATCTTGCTTTCTATTAAAATTACATGTTCGTTCAAGCACACCAGAGATGAGTTTGTGAAATGACTTGTTCTGTTTCACTGTTTCATACTCCACCAGCTTTCTTTACTTCATATTTTCTGCTGGAAAGCTGATAAAGATATGGGAAAAAGGTGGACAAAGCAATAAAACTATTTACACAGAAATACAATTATATTTCTGCCCCTGGCCAGTTAATACGGGCTGCAGTGCTATCTGTTGTTTTTTGTTTTCTTTTGTTTGTTCTTGTTTTTTTTTTTCCTTTTTGCTAATTAAATTTGATCCAATAATTTTCTTATTTTAAACTAAAGAGCCAGGCTTTGAGCTTTATCTAAACTACTTTAAGTGTGATTTAAGAGACCAAATGCTAGTTCAAATAAAAATGTCTTTTGAGTACTTATTAGGAATATTTTATGAATTCAGGTGTCTCCAGGTTCCTTTTCCAGAATAAAATTGGAAAAGCAAACCAGACCACCATCTTTAATGTCTGCCAGCAATGAAAGAGCTTCTCTGTTCAAATATGCCCCATACAAAAGCGTAAGTGGGGAAGGTAGTAAGGAGTGCAACTGTAGTTGGATATGATACATTAGCTAGCCTGGGATCCAAACTAATTTGCACCTTTTTTTGGGGGGGGAGGGGGGAACTGTTTGTGCTCATGCTGGGTCCACCTAAATGTGCATCATGCGTTTGAATGCCTTGGTCTGCCTACCTTGTAGTATCTGAGCATCAGTTCTCAAAATTCACCCTGAAAACTCTCCCTCTCTAAAAGTGAACAAGAGCCGTACTGGGACAAGGTCAGAATGATGCATAAAGTAAATTCAACAATTGGTGCCTCAAAATACTCTTTAAAACCATATTAAATTGGAGTTTTCAGGCAGAAAGGCAGTAACAACACTTATTGGCTATTAAATCTGGAGGGCTCTTCCCTGGGAGATATTGCTTAAGCACTTTGTGGTGGGCTACTGGAGTGCAGAAGTGAAATCCAAGATTATCCTGAATACTGCCAGTGCAGTAAGATTTCCACCTTAAGAGCCCACTGCAAAGGATATATGATATGATGGAAAAAAAAAATGCTTTCAGGATATTACTGTGCTCACTCACCTTCTGGATGCTCCCACTGAAAGGCCTCAGGATTCCCGAGTTCTTCTTCACAGTATCGTAATTAGGGACTCCACCAATAAATATATCAGAGCTGCATTTAATCTGTGTGAAAGCCCCCTGCAATAAACATATGAATAATGTTTGACTACAGCAGCCAGAACCCTGCTTGTATCTTCACATCAGTTTACACTAGATGCTATACCTTATTTTAGTGCCTTGCTTTGACTGCTAAATACACAGCCCAGTCTCACTGCTTTGTTCAGTTCTCTCACAAAAGACACTGTAGGACTCTGTATTGGCAGTTTGCGCTTTATTTCAATTAAATTTAACTGAAAACTGCCAAAACTCAAACTGGGAGAAACGAAAGAAGAGAAAAAGGAGAGATCTTAAAACAATACCAAACCCGCCTGGATGCCACCCTGTGCCATGTGCTCTGGGTGTCCCTGCTGGAGCAGGAGGCTTGGACTAGATGATCTCTAGAGGTCCCTTCCAACCTTAACCACTCTGTGATTCTGTGAATACAAAGTTTCTTTCCTCCTTATTTACCAGTCAATTGTTACTCTGATTTTCCATCCAAACTGATAGGAAGCAACTCTATTTGCAATGACGTGAATGTACATTGGTATGAAGCTAATACTAATGGGACTAGAATGACATCTGTGAAGTTCAAATCAGAGCAAGTCCCATGAAATAGAGACTTGTCCAATGTTTTCAACATATGAAAAGCAAGATACAAGGGTAAAAGATACATTGGATTTGTGTTGGTTACTAGTAGCAATCAGTTGGGATACCTGACAAATCTAGTCAGCTTCCTG